ATAGGGCTAGAAAGCAGTGTTTTGATTAGGACAATATATAAATAATAAGTAAATATGATATTTTAGACATAGCTACAGTATATTTCCTGTATCAAAAGCCATAAGGCACATTAAGAAGGTGTTTGGAAGAGACTATAATTTTAAATTTTCATTTAAAATTGCATTCTGGAACCATCCCCGTTTCAAAATAGTGGGTCAACCTTATTGGCACAGGAAATCATAGGCAAATAGTAAGTATTAATAGTTTAGATCAGCAAGAAGCGGTATTTATTTTAAAGCAACAAAAAAAACCTTTTTTTTCTAGAACGCCTCCGTTTTCCGTGGGAATTCATCTGCTTCCAGCAAAATTTGGCTGGCAGCATTACCAGGTGGGATTTTATTTCTCTTTTCAAACCACTGTCACCCAAGGCAGAAGACATTAATTAAAATGGAAGAACAGGGTCTGCCTTTGGACACAAAGCAACTGGAGTGGCAAGAAAACGGATTGAAAATACAATTCCAGGCCAGAACAAAGAGGAAAGTTATCAACCAGTAATTATGTCTGTTTGAGCCCATGCGCTCTTCCTATCCTGGCAGTCTTGACCAAATACAGGTAGTCCTCAACTTACAACCACAACTGAACCCAAAATTTATGTTGCTAAATGAGACATTTGTTAAGTGAGTTTTGCCACTGTTGTTAAGTGAATCACTACAGCTGTTAAATTAGTAAACACGGTTGTTAAGTGAATCTGGCTTCCCCATTGACTTTGTCAGCAGGTCGCAAAAGGGGATCACATGTCCCCGGAATACTGCAACTGTCATAAATATGAATCAGTTGCCAAGCATCTGAATTTTGATCACGTGACCATGGGGATGCTGCAACAGTCGTTAAGTGCGAAAAATGGCCACCCGTCATTTTTTTCAATACTGTGGTAACTTTGAACAGTCATTAAACAAACTGTTGAAAGTCGAGGACTACCTTATAATAGTAATGGCTAGAAGACCACCAGATCTAGATTGAGATTCTCAGCAGTTCTTCAATTCAATGTTTTAAGGAGCTTATTAAGGAGTTTATTCACACTTCCCTTTTAGTTTGTTAAACCCACATTTAATTTGAAGAAGCAGAACAAGAACTGGCATATAGACAATATGCAAGCAACCTGTTTCTAAGCAACAGGTTCTTTCGTTTCTAAGCAACGCATCAGCCCCAAGAGCACCATAATCCAGGATTGAGACACCTTATGAAGGGAGGGATTATGAATTTATGGAGGACTTTGAGCATAAAAGACCTGACCTAAATGTGGCAAGGGGCCTCATGTAATTCTTAATCAATTTTCACCTTTACAACATTCCAAAGATCTGCATGGAGGATTAAGACATGCTTGTATAATTAAAATTTGACAGGTTGGTCCAATATTGGGAAACAGCACATTTAAGTAAGCTTCACTGAAGAAATCGTTTTACAATTACAACACGACAGTTATTGTTCTACTTTTCAGGAGGGAAAAAAAATCTCATCTAAAATAAAAAAATGCTACTAGCTCGGGGTAAGAATGATGAACAAAAGTTGGTTCCAGGGATGACCTGAATCAAATAAAAGCATGTGAGATTTGGAGACAAAACTAGCATTTATTTGCTGGTAAATGAATGCTAAGAGTCTGGCTTATTCCAGACTATATGTATAGTATATCAAAAAAAGAATTTCTGCTCAATTCATAAGAAAGGCATTACAAACTAAACTAGTTGATTTGAACATATTTGAGACTGGTCAAGTCAACCATAGTTGAATAAAATGGAGGCTTATCTTTCCCTAAATTCTTGGAAGCTATGCTTACAGAATAGGGCTTCAAGAACAATGAGAGGAAAGAGTGGTAGGCGAACAAAGTTTTAGATATATTAGAAATCCTCCAAGACTCTGTACAGTAATCCCTTACAGCAGGAGTCCCCAACCCCTGAGCCAAAGATCAATACCAGTCCCTAGTCCAGTGGTTTTCAACCTTTTTAATGGCACGACCCCCCCCAACCGGTCGTAAGTCGAGGACTACTCAACTGGTCATAAGTCGAGGACTACTCAACTGGTCATAAGTCGAGGACTACTCAACTGGTGCAGCACCGTTTGCAGAATGGGACTTTTGGCGGGCTTAGCAGGGCAGAGACAGCCTGGACAATTCCTGTTGGCTTCTGAAAGCCAATAAAATTAGACTCTATTCAAGAGAGTCTATTCTATTGGCTTTCAAAAGCCAATAGAATAAAAGGAAAGGGAGTAGCACAGCTAAGTAAAAGGGGGAAAAAAATGGCGGACTGCACTGTTTGGCGACCCCCGTGAAATGGTCGTTCGACCCCAAATGGGGTCCCGACCCACAGGTTGAGAACCACTGCCATAGCCCAGTAGGAATCAGTTCACTCAAGAGCATCTGCACAAGCACAGGATCCAAGTAATGTGTGAACCCACCAATTCTAATTTGTGAAACCTGGCCCTGGTGCCCCAAAGACTGGGAATGGCTGCTTTGCAGGTAGTCCTCGCTTAGCAATCATTCAAAATTACAATGGGATATAAAAAGGTACTTAACACAACACAAAACCAAAGTTCCAACAGCTGCCCATTTCAACAGTCACATGACTCCATTTTGGGTGCATTTATAGCTGTTCGCAGCATCCACGCTCATATGACACACACACTCCTTTACATTTCTTTTGCCAGATTCCGGCATTGACTTCCAGATTCCAGCAAAAACACCCATAATGAGCAATTGGTTCACGTAATACCTGTGGCATTCACTTAATGACTGCTGCACAAAATGTGGAAATTCAGGTCACTCAGGCAATGACATGCGTAATGACCAGCATGATTTACTACTATAATTTTGGACTCAATTATCGTCATCAGGCAAGGACTACCTGTACCTTTTTGATGATCGACCTGATTAATGAGACTCCTTGTGACTCCTTCTTTGTGAGTTTTATTCTTAGTGAAGGGCAAGAGATTAAATTTAGAGAAGCAATGAAAGGATGGTGATAAACCCTCCTAAACATGTATGCCTTACCCCCCAGTCCAAAGCAGCCAACAGATGCAGTGGGGCACCCATCCAGATGCTTTGGATCTGAATGCTACACACCTCTAAAGTCAGGCCTTAAATAGACAACAAGAATGAAATCCTTTATACTTTACAGCAGTGGTTCTTAATCTGGGAGTAATTTGGGCATATCCTGGTGGGCAACGGAGCTATTTGTAATTGCTTGTGAGTTAAGAATCCAGTTTGGGACTTCCACTACAGAGATGCTTCTGTAAAATAACAAGAGGTTCAGAGTTTTCTTCTTTTGTGGAGGTAATGACATTATTCAAGGCCATGAAAAGGAGGAATTGGGTCAAACCATTTAAAGAACCATTGCTTAAGGAATTGGTCCAAAACTACTAAAAGCAGTCAAAGTGAGAACTAGGTTGGTGATAACAGATATGCCAATTTTTTGACAGGTCTTGCCCACTGGAACTTTTGTACCTTTCTAAGCAAGCCTTAAGTATCTATTACCAATGCTACCCATGGCATGATTCTTTGCTATCCCCACCTCAAATGGCATACAACAGGAATAGACCAACTGGTCTCTTCCATGTATTTTTAACTACAATTTCACCAACTTTGACAATAGGTTGGTCGGGCAAGTTACTTAGAGTTGACACTTGACCATTATAAAATACTCTTTACAAAAAAATAAATCATGCCCAAGCTTAGAGTATCCCAGTGGAGAGAAAAAAACAAGGATTAGATTATTTGAAGATTAAGTGTGAACATCAATTAGATTCAGATGTGTTGTTTGATTTTGGATTAGCGTATCTGAATGCAACCCACTGCACTTTGTAAATCATGGTTCAACTTAACTTATATATAAACTAAGATACCCTGACTTGATGAGTGAAATAAACCATGGCTTGAACCATGCAGACCCAATCCTTCTCTTAAAGCCTAATTTGAACCAATTGCCACCAAGGCAAAAACTACAAACTATATTGCTAAGTATTTATATTGGTATCTGAAGGTGTAAATGTGCCATAGACAACACTTTTGAAAGTGCTACAGATAAATTGGAAATTGATTCCTGACTCTCATCTCTACAAATCCCCAAATTTTCAGGAAAGAGAGGACAAAGCATAATAATTAAGCCAATATAACATCAATATAAGCAAGGTCTTCTGGCATTAGAGAGATCCATATCAAAAAAAACCTACTGTATTGAAGAGGCCTCATTAAACCCTGAGACACAAAGTCTGCAAATAATATGATCTCTACTCCACTATGAATCTTCCTAAGCCCAGAAAACTCCAACTGAACATATATACAACCTACCTTGGATACAAATATCCCAAGAAAAGGGGCGTTGGTCTTACCTGAATGCCTTTTCTCAGCATGACGATGGAGAATCCACCGATGGGTTTTCCTCGTCTTCTGCCCATAGATTAGTCGGCCAATTTTGCTCTGCCTCTCCTCTTGAGTCCTCCCCTCCCCAGTCTCGACTAGTCTTGAGTCCCTTTCTGCTGCCTGATCGGCCGATCGCAGCACAACCATGAGGTTGGCTTGCGTCCAGCTGGTAGCCGGACAAAGAGCGGACGCCATTTGCCGGTCACCAAGTGTGACCCTGGGCAAAAAGGGGGAAGCATTCCTCCTTCTCCTTCCATTTCACCCCTCCCACAGGGATTTCCAGCCACAAGAGGAGAGCTTCCCACTAGCCAGCTGATCCGCGGGTAAATTTAAACCTCCCACGGTTCCTACGGCAGCTTGTGAGCCGCGGAGGGCTAACAGAGCACTCACAGGCTTTTCTTCTGAAACTAGCCGAATCACCCAAGAATCAGCTGGTCTGCAGAGAGCCTTTAAACTCCGCGACTCTACCCCGAAGATCAGCTGGTCCGCAGAGAGTTGGCTACAAATATCCCAAGAAAATCTTAAGTATACATTTTTAAAACAATCATGTTTATCAGTTCTGGGGGGGGAAAAAAACACCTTAGCAATATCAGCACCCTTAAAATGTACCTTCCAGATGCTTCAGAAGAGCCCTCGTGCTGTTCCCATGGGCAGAAATTAACACAGTCTTCCCTCTCTTGACCTCTGGTGCTATCCTTTCATTCCAGTATGGAAGGAGTCTATCCAATACTTCTTTTAAACTCTCAGCCTTAGGAAGCTTCTCCATTGGCACATCACAGTACTGATACCGGCGATCGTTATATATTTCATGATAGTAAGGGTGGACCTCAGCGATGGGAGGTGGGGTGACGTCGTAGCTCCTTCTCCATCTTTTCACTTGCTCCTCACCATGATTCAAAGCCATCTCTGTCCTGTTGAGGCCAATCAGCGCCCCATAATGTCGTTCGTTCAGCCTCCAGGAAGATTCAGTGGGGACCCACTCCTGACCCATCTCCTGAAGCACAAGCCACGCAGTCTGAATAGAACGGCTAAGAATGGAGGTAAACACAAGGTCAAACTCAAAGCCAAGCATTTTGAGGTGCCGCCCACAGGTCTGAGCTTCCTTCACCCCATCGGCGCTCAGTTTCTGGTCCACCCAGCTACAGAATCGATTCTCCTTGTTCCAAGCCCCTTCACCATGTCTCAGCAAGATTAGTCTGTACTTGGCCATCGTAAGTGGAGCTCTCTTGAATCTGCAGGTTTTATTGAGAAGACATCTATATGGAAATAAAAGAAATAAATCAAATGCTTTGAATCACTAGCAATCGATATCATAAATTCTTCTCTGGAATTTCTGGAGGCCACCATGAGTAGCCCAAGGTAAATTGTTACTGTGATTGATCTTCCCCTGCAAACACAAAGGTTCTTCAAGGAGAGGATTCCTTGGGTTCTGGAGCTCATTTATAGTCCAACCAAGGTAACCGCAAGACCTAACGAGGTTAGCCCATGACACATGTGAACTGGATGGGAACTCACCTACCATCCAGAATCTTGGGCCAGTTCCCTAGGACAGATGTGCACTGACAAGTTGAGTAAGTATTCTTGGACAATACAAGTCTTGGCAAGTATTAATTGGAGTCATGGAAAAATCACTAGGCAGAACATACTGCCCTAAAAAGGTGCATTTTAATACCTTGCTCTAAGATTCTGTTCCTGGAAAGAAAACCAGGGCTGAGCCTGAATGAAATGACAGCAGCCTTTACTCTCTCCTTGCGACAGCACATGTGGTTTAGAGGACAATTTTGCCTCCAGTTCCAAGCACCCAATCTATGGCCAATCTTTAGCATTCTTTGTGGGCGAGCCATCTCAATAATAGTGGCTTGAATTTGGCTCAATTCAGAAAACCATAGTTAAGAACATCTACAGTCTGCCTGGGATCTAACCATAATTTTAATGGTGATCTACAGAAATCTGAAGATAAAATTTTCAATTTCTTTTTTGCAGTTTCATAGGGAAAGACAAGGAAAGGGGATAAGGGACTGATAGTCTTATTTTTGTAAACCATGGTTTTCCATTATGTGAAACAAATGGGAAAAGTTAATTGAATAGGATCTACTCCACAAGACCACCAAGACTTTGGAGTTTCTTCTCCGGAAAAGTTCAGTGTGTGCTTTTTCTATCAGCTTATTTTTCCCTAGGTGATAATGGGGTCCTCTTCCGTTTAGAGCAGGGGTGAGGAACTACGGACCCCTACTGTTCAGGAATTCTAGGAGTTGAAGTCCACAAGTCATAAAAAGGCCATATTTCCCCGCCTCTGGTTTAGAGAATAAGTTTCTCTTTTAACTGAAGGGATGTTTAATTATGCTCAAACCACATTCTACCTCTTCTGCCAGCTTTAGTTATCTTAACAGAGTAATTGGTTTTTGATATTTTGTTTAACATCTTAACACTGCACTGATGGTGTAGACTGGACACATCCTTCCATACATACATAGTGTTTGCAATTCATTAATCGATACTCGTAGCTCTCAGTATGTGGCAATAGGATGATGAAGGAGGAGTGGAAGTAGCAGAGATAAGAACAAGCACCTCCAGACTTAGTTATTTGCTTTGGGGCATCTGATGATTCCAATAATGTTCTTTGTATTTAAAGAATGGCTACACTGGCAGACAAAAACAACCAAAATTTTGGAGAAATCACATTTACCGGAACAAGAGAGCACAGCTGATTCTACCTAACCATTCCCACTGGCAAAGGTCATCAAAAAAAACCCTGAAAGCCTAGAACAGGAGTGTCCAACCTCGGCAACGTCAAGACCTATGGACTTCAACTCCCCAAATTCCCCAGCCAGCCATGAATTCTGGGAGTTGAAGTCCACAAAATAGCCCAGGTTGGATGCTCATGGTTTAGAATATCATTCTAATTGATTTCCAAGACTGGATGCTCCCAAATAAGCTAGGATGGATCAACCAAGAATTATCCCTGAGAGATAAGAGCCAGATCAATTCAGGACCCATCAACAGTCACTTTGGGGTTAGTTGGCCATTTATACTAGACGGAGGACCCAAGTGAAAACAACTGGCAGAGGCTACCAAATACAGATTACTTACAGTTAACTGGGATATTAAGGAGCTTAATAGCAATTTACTCTCTTTATAAAACAAAGTAAGTTACTCAATCATTTATAATTATGATATATTCAATAACTTTAATTTTGAAGATAATTGTAAAGTCCCTATTTATTCACATTGTACTCTGCTTTTTTAACCCTTTTTTTGGATTACTTTTTTTAAAAAAAATACTTAATTAAAAAAAGCCTATTTGGCAAGATGGGCAACATATAAGTTTAATAAATCAATGAAAAATATTTTTAAAAGATGACACAATAGAACATGGCAAACTGAACAAGGTATTTTCTATCCCATGTACTACTTTCCAATTTCTTCCCACGTATTAATGAAAATCAAACCACTTGATCTTTTAATACCCATTTATTACCCACACCCTGTGATTTTACCTTGATGATCCATCAATTAACAAGAATACATTGAGGGCACTCTGATCAAATTTACTCAACTCTTCCACAAAATGCTGTTGATCCTGATTTAAATAATTCAAATAATTTTCACACCTTTTTCACAAGACTTTGGAGAATAAGACGTTGGCATTTTAAGCTATTTGACTACTGTGTACGATTTATTGTACTCATGCTACATCGAGGTACTGGAATTCTAAGTACTACTTAAAGTAATGCTGTACTTGAGGTAGTCCTCAATTCATTTAGCAAACATTCAAAGTTACAATAGCACGGGGAAAAAAATGTTTACAATCAGTCTTTGTATTTAAGACTGTTGATCATATGATCAAAATTTAGCTGGGTGACCTTTTATTTATTTTATTTATATCTTGCCCTTATTATTTTTGCAAATAACTCAAGAGGGCGAACATATCCAAAACACCTTCCTCCTTCTATTTTCCCAACAACCTGTGAGGTGAGTTGGACTGAGAATGACTGGCAAGGTCACTCAGTTGATCATGACTGAGGCGGGATTTGAACTCACAATCTCTTGTGCCTGGTGCCTTGCGCTAGACCAGGGGTAGGCAACCTTGGCTCTTTTATGACTCGTGGACTTCAACTCCCAGAATTCCTGAGCCAGCATGGCTCAGCTTGGAAACCTCTCCCTTTCCCCTCAGCATGGCTGGCTCAGGAATTCTAGGAGTTGAAGTCCACGAGTCATAAAAGAACCAAGTTTGAAGACCCCTGAACTAGACCAAACTGGCTCTCTCATATTATCAGTGCCAGTGCCTCTTGCCAACTTAAGGTGAACCCAATGGACAAGACAGAAAATTAAGATAAGTGGCTAAACAAGTCACTTATCAAAGCATCCTCTCTCTATGTTTTTGCAAAAACATACTTAGAGAGGAGCAAGGTTCGCTAGTTCCAAATACAAGTAGTCCTTGACTTATGAACGTAATGGAACCTCCCTGTTATTGTCACAAATCATGCCAGTTGTAAATCAGGTCACGACAGACTCAATTTTATGACCACTTTGCAGTAGTTGTTAAGCAAACCCATTGTTCGCTATGGGACATTTTTACCAAAAACTGGAAATAAACACCAGGTTTTGTCATAAATCACAGCCACATCACTGCAGGTCACTGAAAACAATCATAAATGCAGGTTGGATGTTGAACACCCAAAATGTTGTCACCTGACTGCAGAAGAGTGCAAGGCCATTGGAACCAGATTGTAAGGAGGGAGGATCCATTGTAACTATGAACAGTTGCTAAGCTAGGGGTAGTAAGTTCAGGATTGCCTGCATTTCATTTGCGCATTTGCCATGTCAGACATTGAAGCAAGTAGGATATAGTTGACACAATGATGCTGTTACCAAATTGGGTAACGAAATGTCTGCAAACAAATAACAAAGCTCAGAGAGCACCAAGGGCCCCACAAGTCAACCCTGAGCTACAAATATTTCTTCCAGTGGTACAAGATTTTAACACGCTTTCAGAACTTCAATCATAACCCTGAATCACATTAGGAGATTCAGATCCGTCACACAGCTGTCATGAAGACACTGCATTTGTGTGAGGTCTTTTCAGGAAAACTGGGGATCAGCTTTAAAACTTTAATTTAATTATTTTTTAGTATTTAACTCTCAATAAATATGTTTTGATCATCTTATGTGTATGTATGTACGGTATGTATACACACACACAGAGTATATCTATATTTATCTAGATTCTAATCTAGAGAAAGAGAGAAACACATACATTATGTAACAGCTCATGACTGACGTATCTATTGTACAATTACCTTAATATAAGCTATAGTTTTTTCTTAATATAGTCTACCTTGTGTGAAAAAGTTAAATACATTTTATGCTTATAATAGGGGCATCCTAAACTGTAACAAACACTGACAGAATCTCTTTTTCTTTATATTCAATACTCTTCAGTTATCCAATTAATAGAACCTCAATAACCTTATACTGTAGAATTATAATTGCATTGAAACAATATAATGTATTCTAAAATACAACACAACATAATAAAGGGGAAAAATAAAAATAAAATTGCACGGTAAACAAACTACCCTTTGGACATAAAGGTTCCAAATTCCAAAATAATCCATTAGGGAGACCATAAACATCATTTTCAGAATTCAGTCAATTTATTACAGCCAAAGGCCACACATAAATCAAACATTCACATTTTCAGAATAAAGCAGAGCTATGGCAATTTGGCAGGAAAAAGTTCGGGTACTTGAAAGATTAAATAATTATAAAAGGAGTGTTCCTGTTAACTACCTTCAAAGTGTTCCTGTTAACTACTCTCAAAACCAATCCCTTGATAGAGCCAAAAATTACACCAAACTGAGATCTTCAACCGTTGACAAAGGCATATCTGGTTACAAATAGATTTCTGATGAGAATTGATTATCTGAACAACGCTGCCTGGACTTCTTCATGTCTATCTTCTCAAAAGATCACAGCAATCACACAGAAAGAAGGCAGAATGGTTTTTCCACTCTCAACTATGGGTGGCTTGTTTTGAAGCAGATACATTAATCTTTGCAATAAGTATTATAGGAAGCACCAGTGCTTTTTTTCTTTAAAAAAAAATGGAACTGACACACGTCATACAATCCGCCTTGCCTACCCTATAAGGTTCCATCCAAAAAAGGTGCCTGAACTCCGTTCTGGGCATTCTATGAGAAAAAAAAGCCCTGGGAAGCACAGTTGTTAATCACTAGATTTAAACCTGCGACTGTCACTGGCTACCATAAGCATGCCTATAATATCTGTATCAAGGTGTTTAAATAATGCTGAAATATTAAAGAACCCAAGAACCAAAAGTTGCTGAAAACAATGAATAGAAAGAAACTATGTACAGGTAGTCCTTGACTTATAACTACAACTGAGCCCAAAATTTCTGTTGCTAAGTGAGACGTTTGTTAAGTGAGTTTTGCCCCATTTTACTTCTTGCCATAATTAAGTAAATCACTGCAGTTGTTAACTTAGTAACACAGTTGTTAAGTGAACCTGGTTTCCTCATTGACTTTGTTTATCAGAAGGTTGCAAAAGATGATCACATGACCCCAGGATCCTGCAATCATCATAAATATGAGACTCCGTTGTCAAATGTCTGAATTTTGATCACGTGACATGGGTATGCCACAACAATCATAAGTGTGAAAAACAGTCATACGTCACTTTTTTCAATCCTGTTGTAACTTTGAACAGTCACTAAATGAGCTGTTGTAAATCAAGGACTACCTGTAGTTGAGGGACAAAGAGTAAAATCAATTATTAAAAGAAATCCGAAATTTAAAGGAGATCATAAGTGAATACAGAGAATCTAAAGCAAATGAAAAATGTATGAATGCGAATGCCAGACCAATGGATTTAGCACAATTGCTCAGTAATTATTACAGTTATGTAGTGCTTTGTATTTAAAGGCCAAATGATGTTTTGGAAAGTATGGGGGCATAAATTTAGCCCCTCTCTACAAATCTTTCATGTAACCACACTATCCCAGGATTGTGCAGATCATAGCTATGAAACAATCATAAGGAAAAACAGTGCTTTGCAAACATAGGCATATAGCATAACCAGACAAAAAGTTCAAGATTCAGCATTTATAAAAACCTCAGTCAAAAAAATACGGTGTGGTCTAAACGACATTTGTGTGTTTGTATGTATATAAGCCCAAAGCATTTGTGAATATGTGATCATCTTGTGAATTTAAGGGGTGGGAGCATTTTGCCTGTCTGAAATGTTTAATAAAGAATAAATGTCATTTTAGTTTTAGAAGGTAATGAAAACCTTCAATATTCTTTCAATGATGATTCTACAGATGGAATATGCACTGGAAAAGTATAAGCTGATTAGAAGAAATGGCTTTGTCTCAAAAAGCTGATGCAAGTGTAGTGTAAGACCAGAAAAATCTGGTGACAGTGAGTCATAACTCCTATCAATAAAGACCTACGTTGTTATGCTATCAATGATACCCACTGGAAAGATATTTTGCACTGAAAAATCTCTTAAGAGTTAACTGACTTTCCTTTGATCAAATTATAGACACCTTTCTTCTCTTAATGTTATTTTCAGTACAATGCTATTGACAGCTTTATTTTATTTCACAAAACCACTTGCTTTGTACTGGAAAAAAAACTCTAACCTCCACAAGATACAATCGTGAAAAACATAGCTATATATCTTATTATTTGACCTAATCAGCAATGTTGAGTTTGTCAACCATGGTTTGTTGACATGCAATAAATCACAATTAAGGAAACTCCCAGTGTAGTAAAATGGCACCTAGTGCCAAGTCAAACTCCGTGGCTTAAATAGGATCTGCCTCTCTCTCCGTCCTAATCCCTGAACTCTAAAGCAGTGGTTCTCAACCTTTCTAATGCCGTGACCCCATAGTACAGTTCCCCATGTTGTGGTGACCCCCAACCACTTATACATCACCGGGTGCCAGGGGCGTGGCCAAAGAAAAGGGGGGGGAAATGGCGGACAGCCTTGTTTGGCGACCCCGGTGAAATGGTCGTTCGACCCCAAATGGGGTCCCGACCCACAGGTTGAGAACCACTACTCTAAATGCTTTGACAACCAGGGCTTTTCAAAATGTTTTAAACTACAATTCCCATTTGCCACAGTCAGAGTAGCCAATGATTTTGGGACCCAGTAATGAAATTTGAACCCCACACTGCACTATAGCTTCCAAACTCTCAAGCTTTCAATTACGTTAAAAAAAGATCATTTCCAATCATTTGACCAGGATGGTATAAGCCAAGGTTTCTTCCTTTGAGTAGAGGGTTGGACTAGAAGACCTTCAAGGTCCCTTCCAGCCTTATGAATCTATGTTCCTTTTGTGATAAAGGCAAGTAGAGCTGCTACTCCTACTGAAACATATATGGAAAGTACAGAAAAGACAATTAAAAAGGTTTTTTATCCGTACAGACATTGCTAACAAAGCAATTTTAAGTTTCTTGTGGAGAACACAGTTAGGTTTTTTTTCCTAACTACATGCATATTTGGGGTGGGACTAAGAGACATTCTTGACTTATTATCCTAGTTTTGAGATGTATACAGTACTTTCATCTTTGTTCTACCCAGATACTTGAAGCCAGACATGATTTAAAACATGTCCAAACTACACTACTGAAAAATACAGAGTATCTGCCTTCTCACTGCATACAAGTAGTCCTTGACTTAAAATCACAATTGGGGCCAGAATTTCCATTAATAGGCAAGTGTGTTGTGCCCAATTTTATAACCCTTTTTCTCTTGGTTCTTAAGCAAATCACTGCAGTTGTTAAATGAATCATGCCATCATTAAGTGAATCCGACATCCCCCATGGACTTTGCTTGGTGGAAGCCAGTTGGGAAAGCCATAAAGGGTGATCATATGGCCCTAAGACAAAGGTCCCCAACCCCCGGTCCATGGACCAGTACCGGGACGCGGCATGCCAGCAACCGGTCCGCACAAACAAGCAAAGCCCCATCTGCAGGATGCAGGGAGCACACAAAACCACGCACTCTCCGGTCCACAGAAAAACCTTTCTCCATGGAACCGGTCCCTGGCACCCAAAAGGTTGGGGACCTCTGCCCTAGGACACTGCAACTAATGTAAATATATGCTGATGGCCAAGTGCCCAAATTTTGATTATGTGACCATGGGGCTGCTGTGGTGGTCGTTAAGTAGGAGGACTGGTTGTAAGTCACATTTTTCAATGCCACTGAACAATCACTAAGCAAATGGTTTTAAGTTGACTATTGCACAGACAAAATGGATTCAAAAAGCAATTACTATTTCAACATTCTTCCTTGCAGATATGTATTAATGCTCTGCTTTGAATTTTGCATAAATATACTTATTTGTAGAACATCCCATTGAACTCAGTAACAATATTCATGCATTATGCTACTGCACTTGCTAATATACTTACCCATGGGCTAGCAAGTAATTCTTGATTTATACAGACCACTAAATCAGAAACTAAATTGATTGACTTTGCACAGTATTAAGTCAAAACTAAATATATATTATGGCTTCAAAGGCATTCCCAATCTGGCATTCTCCAAATAGATTGTATTTTGAACATCCCCCAGAATTAAAGGACATACCAGTGGAGAGCAAGTTGGGAAAACCTGGCACAGCATGGCATATAAACCAGGACTTTTCATATAATCTAACCAGTATGCATTCCTTCATTTAAACATAAAACTCCTACATCTGAAAAGCAAACTTAGGACACATTCACTTGCAACAGAAAAGTATTTTTAATTGGTATGCTACATGGCTGTTTGACCAGCACAATCAAAACTAGCAAACCCTTTGTGTTATTTTAATACAATTATTCATTCCACACTGAACAGGTGCAAACATCTGGCCAACTCAAAAGCTAAACAGGGTAAGATGTGGCTAGGCACTGGATGAGGACCACCGGAAAAACCATTTGTCTCGAGCCTATATAGTGCCCCACAATATATAAAACAAAATTAATATCAAGCTTGGGATGAAGGCAAAAAATGAGTGATTTAAAAGCAGGAAGGAAGGGTAATTGGTAGCTTTAAGGTACCAGTAGATGGTTACAGAAATGGCACAGGTATCTCTAACATCATGTCCAAGAATTCTCAGCCGTGACCACAGTAAGATCTTACCGCTCTAACTTGCTTTTTAAAGGCTTCTCCCAGTTCCAATGCAGTGTGAAAAAAATCCCTGCGTTTATGACTTTTTAAAATAGCCGAACCAAAATTAGAATGACATAAACACACACCAAATCCTCCCCAGGGCACCCAGGTTCAGCCTTCCCCTTGCCTAGCTCTATGGACACCCACTGCTAGCTGGGTAAGGGGGATTCCTATCCTACTATTCTGCGTGCAATTCTCAGAGATCTAATTCCGGGGAGCCCGTTTTTTTCCCGGAGCCCTAAAAACACCATCAAAACGAACAGCCCAACAGCAGAACCCATTGGATTGAAAATAAAGCGCTTCAAAGTGAAGCTATCGATGCAATTCTATCTCTTCCCTGCTGCGGCTTAATTAAAACACGCATGCAAAAAGAAACACTTTTAAAGGGGAGAAAAAAAAGCATTATTCACCTTTACACAGCACAGCTGGGTCTGCAAAAATCCAACAACCACCAGAAATATAACACACACACCCCGAGCTGCAAAGACTGCGGCTAATATTTCCTAGCCGCTTCAAACAGAGTGCTAAAGAAGGGGAAGAGTTAGTAACGCCTCCCGGATTCGCCCTCTGATTGAAGTAGCGAGCTATCACTCATAGGACACCGCGGCCCTGCCTCTAATGGGAAAGCGCATAACAAGGATGAAGGGGCGGGAATAGATGACCTAATAAATTAAACGCTCTCCGGCAAGCTCGGTTGGAAGGTTGATGCTGATTGGTGGATGTGGAAGCTGTAACAGCGCGGTGCGGTAAAGCCAATAAATGGATCATTCCAGGACAAAGAGTTTTAAGTAGGGATCCAAAAGGCTTATTTATTGCATGTTTCTCCAAGGTTTCAAAATTTGAGAAGCTGGAAATAAGGTTGAAACACTTAGCAGACTCAGTCAGGCAAGATCAGGTGCGATTAGTCCTTGGATGGGAGACCACTTCGAAATCACAGAACTATAGACTAAGACAGGGCTCTTCAAACTTGACCCTTTTATGACTTGTGGACTTCAACTCCCAGAATTCCTCAGCCAGGCACGCTGGCTGAGGAATTCTGGGAGTTGGAAGTCCACAAGTCATAAAAGGGCCAAGTTTGAAGAGCCCCGGACTAAGACTCAAAAAACAAACAAACAAACAAAAAGATGCCGATAGAAAGCAATGCAAGCAGTTTCCTTAATGTGCCAAGAAAACTACCGTAAATGCCGGCGTACAAGGCGACCCAGCGTATAAGACGACCCTGTCTTTATAGCCGGGCCGCATTCCTAGAATGTCGTCTTATACGCCGGAAACTACCAGTATTTCCAGCGTATAAGACGACTCGCCATATAAGACGACCCCCGTCTTTGGTGCCAATTTCAGCGCTCGCGGAAGTCGCCTTATACGCCGGCATTTACGGTACATAAACATATCCATATCAAGACTCAAAGCTGACACTAGAGCAGTGATGGCAAACCTATGGCACGGGTGCCAGAGGCGGCACTCAGACCCCTTTCTGTGGGCACACACGCCGTCAGCTGGATTTTATAAAACCTTTTCGCTTTAGGCCTCCACTGCCGTGTGCAAAAAAAATCAATCAGTCAGTCAATTTCAACTTCTTGCAGGGAAAAAAAAGATTTTGCAAAGTTAGAATTGATTGATTGAACTTTTTAGTCCCACCCAGCCTGCCATTACCACCACAGCCATGCCCAGACAATGGGCCACACCCAGCCAATGGGCCACACCCACCCAGCACCCAACAATGCATAAGTGGGTTTTGGGTTGTAGTTTGGGCACTCGGTCGCTAAAAGATTTGCTATCACTGCATTAGAGGGACTTGGGTTATAGGACTGAGTTAAACAGAAGAGGCATTACATGGGTCAGTGTCCTTGCAAAGTCAAATTTTTGGTAGTTGTATAGTGATTAAATCTGACAATATTGGAAAAGGAAACTTTCTAAACAACCTCATTGGTATCTGATCAAGTTGTTACAAAATTAGCAATAGGATGAGATTGTAAAATACAGTAGTGGATAAATGGAAGCCTAATGTTATGCATGCCTACAAGGATAGAAGCCTCAAAAGAGTTTAATAAGACTTCAAATTTTATTTCAAGTACAGGTAGTCCTCAACTTACAACCACAATCGAGCCCAAAATTTTTGTTGCTAAGTGAGACAGTTGTTGAGTTTTGCCCCATTTTATGATTTTTTTGTCATAAGTTGTTAAGTGAATCGCTGCAGTTGTTAAATTAGTAACACAGCTGTTAAGTGGATCTGGTTTCCCCATTGACTTTGCTTGGCAGAAGTTTGCAGAAGAGGATCACATGACCCTGGGACACTGCAACCATCATAAATATGAATCAGTTTTCAACCATCTGAGGGTAAGTCACATAACCATGGTGATGCTGTAATGGTCATAAGTGTGAAAAATAGTTATAAGTCACTTTTTTCAGTGCTGTTGTAACTTTGAACGGTCACTAAATGAACTGTGGTAAGTTGAGGACTACCTGTACAAAGAATTTTAAAAAGAAAAAAATTGTTCCCATTAAGTCAGTTCAGTGTAGTGGTCTATTCTATTGGCTTTCAAAAGCCAATAGAATAAAAGGGAGTAGCACAGCTAAGGAAAAGAGGGGAGGGAATGGCGCACTGTGTTGTTTGGCGACCCCTGTGAAATGGTCGTTTGACCCCAAATGGGGTCCCGACCCACAGGTTGAGAACCACTGTTTTAACACATTTAGCAGTGTAATCAAGCTATTTACTGGATGTGGAGGTCCTCAGTGTTTTATCTATCACAGATGTTCTTTTTTTGCCTGAGGAGTTGTACAATCAGCAATCACAATCCAGATGTTCCTACAAATATTTCAAAAGGTTATAACTTACAAAACCACAGAAACTTCGTCAAATCAACTCAAATCTGTTTTCCCCTTGAATGTACAGGTAGGCCTCAGCTTATGACCATGATTGGGACCAGAATTCCTGTTGCTAAGCAAGGAGATTGTTAAATGAGTCACACCTGATGTTATGACCCTTTTTTTTTTTGTTACAGTTGTTAAGTGAATTGCTGAAGTTCTTCAGTGAATCACATGGTTCAAGTGATTCCGGCTTCCATTGACTTTGCTTGTCAAAAGCTTGTCCTTTGGGAAGCTTGCAAATGGCAATCATATGACCCAGAGACACGGAAATCCATGTTCAGTTACCAAGCAGTTATCAGACAACGGTGGGGATTCGGTGACAGTCAAAATCCCTTTTTTTCAATGCAATAATTTTGATCGCTCACTAAACAAATCAAATCAAAGACTAAATATGTTTGCATGAGTAGAATAAAATCATTTATAGCAGAGATGAAAGGGAGATCAGAAATTCCTCACCTCTCAGCAATGGTTTTGAGATTAAGATGAAACCAGGCATTATAAAAAACATTGTAAATGTACATATCATAGAAATATTCCTCTACTCCAGATTATTATAAAGCTGTATAATTTATTCCTAAAATTTATTCCAAATCATCTGCTGGTTTGACCTTTAAACCAATACACTAATCAGATTTTATATACTGTGTGTGTGTATACATACACTCACACACTCACACACAAGCAAACAGTACCAAGGTACTTATTTTGCTTAGAAATAGAAATAAGAACTTTTACACAGAATTGTAAAATTGCCAATGGCCATGTTTTTAAGTACACAAAGAGTTTAATTAGTCATAAGGCTACATGTTCAAATATCATCATTCTCAATCAAATAATCTGACCCAGCTTGAATAACAAGCAGTTCTTCTGTAATATTTAGATGCAAACACACCCACATACAAGTCCATAAAGAAATAGGAGGAACATTGGATTGGTAATCTCTAAAGAAATTTCTTCTTGTGGTAGACATTGGTCTAGAGAACAAAATGACATGTCAACTAGAGTTGACTTAAGAGGACAGGTGGCTTACAATATTGAGACCTCCAGTATTGATGGAACTCCTTAATGTGAACACTGGATGACAGACCTAATATTGATAAAGAATCTTAACTTCCAAATAATAAATTGAAACGAGAATGGTGGAATACCCCCAATTTATAGTTCTTCAGAGCTTCAGTACCAGAAAATCCAAGCAAGAAGGCTACCCAAGTAAATAATTATCCAGAAGGAAAAAAAAACTCTAGAAAAGGGAAGTGATAATGATGAGACAAGTTATTAAAAAGAAATCAAATGGATTCTACCACTCAATAATCTTACCTACAAGAGACTAAATTAATCAGAATCTACCTTTGATTTAAACATTTTATATCATTTAAAGAATGTTGCCCTTGCAACCTATAGCTAATGTTTTAGCTGCCCTAATCTCATTTGGCATGGTAGAGCCGGCCAAGAAAGTAAGTTAAATGATTCAGTGTCTTATTTTGTCCTGTGAGAGTTTGTTTTTGTTTTTATTTCCATTTACAATAGAAAAAATATATACATCCATTCCTTGTAAATAATCCTTTTTCTACTCATTGCATTCTCATGTCTGGTATCTGGGTTCTATAAACAGACATAAAAAATACATACAATTTACTGGACTGTTTGTATCAACAACTCAGTTCTGTTTTAGATTGTTCTGGCTATTCTGTTTTAATTCTTTACTGAATTATTTTGAATGCACAAAATAATTCCCATGTAATTTTTTTAAAAAATATGTACATTATTAGTCATTTTTGGTCCTTTTGTACTGTTTGTTTTTAAAATACCCGTTTAAAAAAGGAATACATTTCCCAAACCACATCAAGCCAAATAAAAAACTTGTTTGCAGTCACATATTTTAAAAAAATGGATAATATTTTTTAAAACTTTTATTTGTGAGGGGTCCTTAGTGTTCTCCAAGCTTGGTTGTTTTCTTGTAGACATTTCATTATCCAGGTAACATCATCACTGCACTTAGGATATTACCTTTTCTGGGTAATGAAACATCTGCAAGAAAACAACCAAGCTTGGAGAGCACCAAGGACCCCTCATTTCAACCCTCAATACAAATATTCACCTTTATTGGTACTTTTATTTGTGTATATTAATCTTTGACAAGTTTAATTTATTCAACATATGTAAAATTTTGTTTGCTGAACAAAGACATTTAGTGGAACTGCTATGCTTCTTCAGCCACTAGAGGTCAGCTTCTGATCATTCTGTGACAATCATCTCAGGTTTAATCTGAATTATGAACTTTGAAGAAGCAAATAAAAAGAGTACTGATGCTTTTGAACTTTGGTGCTGGAGAAGATTCCTGGACAGAAGAACCCCCCCACACCTCTAATTATTTAACAAATCAACACAGAGTTCTCATTGGAAAACCTAACAGACTAGGCTATGGATAAAATATCACAGAGAAAATCTATGTATGTGGTTACTAAGAGTCAGTACTGACTTGATGGCACATAATCCATCTGAGGAACGACAGAGGATGACAGAGAATGAGGTGGCTGGATGGAGTCACTGAAGCAGTAGGCGTGAGCTTAAATGAACTCCAGAAGATGGTAGAGGACAGGAAGGCCTGGAGGAACATTGTCCATCGGGTCACGATGGGTCGGACACGACTTCACAACTAACGACAACAA